AAGGGAGAGAGAGACCTACGTACTTGATGAAAAAGATTCTCCCACCGCTGTCAACCCCGTAGGTCCACCGGCCCGGCAAGTCCAGCCAGTCTATCTCATCGGCCATCTCGATGTCCCCGCAGCCCCTGTCGCTCTCCGCCCCCAGGCGCCGGGCTGGCGAGGGGCTTCCTGCCCCGGAACCCCCACGTTCAGTCTCTCCACCTCCAGGCCGTGATGGGGGAGGGGTCCGGTGCGGGTCCGCCCGGCTGGCGGCCGCCTCCTGGGTCCCCGGCGGTGACTTTGGCTTCTCACTGAAGGCGAGCTGGCCGCGAGCCGTGCAGCAGGGAACAGGCGAGCGCTTAACCCTGGCCCGGCCGGCCAGCAGCCCGAGCTCCAGGCACCACCTGCCTCCTCTGCTCCCAGCGCCGTTTCGGACGTCTGCTCAACTTTAATGACGGGCAATTAGCGCGGCGAGGAACGCCGAGCCCTCCCGCAGGCAGCGAGCCGGCAGCGCCCGGGCTGTCCCTCCTCGCTCGCCGCTGCCCGCCAGCCTGACCGACCAGCGCCGGAGCAGGAGCCGGAGGATCCTCCCCGAGGGAGCAGGTTGCAGTGTGTGAGCAAGGGGTGTTGCCTCTCGGCTCCCGGCTCCGAGCCTACACTTGAACCGCGGCGGGGCGAGGCGGGGGGGGGCCAAAGCGAAAAGGATACTCCGCGGTGGGAACCCGGCCCCCGCACCTGCCGGTCCCCGAGGCCAGGCGCTCGGCACAGGGAACCAGTTTGACCGAAAGAGCTTTGAATCACCAACCTGAGGGGCATGTCCACTGAGCGGAAAAGGGGAAGTGACCAAACCTGGTTCCACTCTCGGCAGGCTAGTGAGGGACAAAGGTCAAATGCACGGAAGAGTGACAAGGCCTGAGCAGCGAGGGGCCCCAGGAGTCTCTTCCAGCCAAGATGCTAGCCTAATTAGTCAAGCCAGTCCTTCCCTTTTCTTTGCCAGCACCTCTTCCAGGAAGCCTGCCCTGACTAAGGATCACAGGGAGACCTTAGAAACACTCAAACCAACAGCTTTTATGTCCATCTCATTCCCCTTAACTTGCACCAGAAATGGAGAAAGAAAAAGGAAAGATATTAAAAAGAAGAGGAGGAAGAAAACGTGTCCTGTGTACAAAATGCAGGTTATAAGACTTCCATACTTATATATCAAAAATGTTACTGCAGAGCCAGCAGGTGGCGTGGTGGTTAGGAGTGTTGGACTCCCACAGAGCCGACTGCGGTTTGAGTCCCGGACCTGGTATCTTGCTTTCTCACATTCCCTCTCTTTCTCTCTCCCTCACGCTGTCTCTCTCTGGTCAAATTGAAAATAAATAAATAAATAAATAAATAAATAAATAAACAAACAAACAAACTTACATAAATTTTTTTTTAATGGTATTGGTGGAGCCCACAGTCCTGCTATCTCAGGGTTTATATCAAGTTGGGGTCCATTCAGCTTTCCCAGCTTACTCAGAACCTGCCCAGGGTTCGAGTAGGTGCACACTGTTCCAATCCACAATCTGGACCCAAGGAAATAATTTCACAATGGGAGAGACACCTGTCTTCAAAGAAAGCGGTGTGGTTAGAGCGCTGGATTCCCACATGGTCAACCACGGTTCAAGTCCATGGACCTGGTGACTTGAAAATGACAACAGATGAATAGATAAATTCGTATAGCAGTGTGTCACATGACAGCTGGCAGTGTCTGCTGAGTGAACATACGTTTTAGGGACACCCTAAGAGATTCGATCTGTGTTTTGCCAAAGTAACTCCTATACATCCCTTCAGCATCCGCCTGTGTGTCACCAACTCCAGGAAGCCAGTCCTGACTCTACCCAGATTTGTATGTCCACCCTGTCATGGGGCCTCATGAATAACCCTACAGGGGACTCATCGTACCGTAAGGCTCCTTCACTTACTCATCCGTCCCCTTCCTTGGGCTTCTTGCGGCAGGGACTCCATCTTATTCCTCTCCAGAGTCTCAGCACCTGCCCAGGGCACCCAATTAATGTTTGGTGAATGTCTGGCATGGTCATAACTGGGAACTATTCTTACCTCTAACCACAAGCCTATACTTTTGGACCTTATTTAGGGGCATGCTATATAAATATTACTATCAGCAATCAGGGTGTGTGGGGGGAGCGCTTTCTGGAAAAAGAAACAGCCCATGGGCCTTCCTGGTATCCCACATGCTCACCATGGAGGGTGTAACGTGTGTACAGCTGATGGAAGGTGTGTGTACAGAAGATGCCTGAGAGAGTGTCCGGCCCCGTCCTCTTCCTTTAAATATGGCAAACGAGCAAAAAAGAGAAGGGGCTGGCCAAGGTCAAGTGAAGTGATGACTGAGAAGGATCTGCCTACCAGTGTGTCAAGCCAGAGGTCCTTCCCTTACGCGGTTCTGCCTCCAACACTGGAAATGAACTCTGCCGACATGTACAGGTTGGTTCCTGGGTGCCAGGTCTGAACTTCTAGTAGAGAAACCTGTGTTTGACAGGAGAAACATACAGGAGGACCAGGGACCCCTTAGCTCCTGAGCTGGGGAAATGTGAAATGTCGAGGTTCCTCACCAGGCCCCAGACCACAGTCACCAGCCTTGAGAAACACCTGTGAGCCTCAGCCCAGTGCTAAAGCACAGAACCACCTGCCCAGCCCCTCCGTATCCAGGGATCTAACCCACCAGCTGTGCTGCCGAGACGCCTCGCCTGGAGGGAAAATACCAGCAGCCAGCACATTCCCAGTCCAACCTGAGCAACCAGTAAGGGCGGCTGCCTGGGCTGAATGTGGGTGGAATTAGGGGACAAATGACAAATATTTGAAAACATGTGCTACACCATGATCTTTGAGAAGGGGGTTCCTGGTAATCTCAACACAGGACTCTGTTCTCATTTAATCTCTAATCTACCCTCGGGTTCCTCGAAACATTTACCTAGACAAGAAAAGGCCAGCAGTGGAGAGTTTGTTTTTCACTCGTTTGAAATCAGAAATCAGGTTTGGAAGTGTTTTTCTAACACTGGTGTATTCTCACTAGGGACTTTTTACATTCTAGTTCTTGCTTATCAATCACGATCCTTACTGATATTGCTAGTAATGTCAGTTCAGCAAAAGAGCTAAAGATATGCAGAAAAAAAGAGCAGGTATCCCAAAATAAAAACAGTTATTGGTGCAACAATTATCCAGGGGAAGAAAGGAGGGTTAATATATTAAAATGAAAACTTGGGACCAGCAGTTAGATCCCTGGATATGGAGGGGCTGGGCTGGTTCTGTGCTTTAGCAGTGGGATGGAGCTCACAGGTGTTTCTCAAGGCTGGTGACTGTGGTCTGGACCCAGGATCCCGAGAGGAGAATGGAGGAGAAGGGATTGTGGCGTGGCCATCCCCCTGGGGGGATGATTTCTCACTGTCTCTCTGTCTCTCTCTGTCTGGCGAGCGCACGTGCCCTATAGCAAAAACCTCTCCAAAAAATAAAAGAAAGAAAAGAAAATTTTACAGGCTTGGCAATAAAATGAGATATTTAGTGATTTTTCCTCACAGCAAGGTTTATTTTATCTCATTAAAAGGTAATAGAGGGGCTGGTAGGTGGCATGGTGGCTAGGGATGCTGGACTCCCATATGACCAACTGCGGTTCGAGTCCTGGACCTGGTGGCCTACTTTCTCACTCTCTCTCTCTCTCTCCTTCACTCAGTCCCTCTTTGATCAAATTATAAATAAATAAGTAAAGTTAAATAAAATCATTCTTTAAAGAAAGTAACAGAGTGGGGCCAGCAGGTGCCTTAGTGGTGCTGGACTCCCACATGGCTGACTGCAGTTCAAGTCCCGGACTGGCTAATCTCTTTTCATTAAACAAATAATTACAAGAAAAAAAAAAAGTAATAACGCAGGCCAGCTGGTGATGTGAGGTTTAAGGCACTGGATCCCACACGGCTGGCCACAGTTCGAGACCTGGACCTGGTGCTTGAAAATCATGCCAGGTGCATGTGTGTGCATACCCAAAATCCCAAGAGGAGAATGGAGGAGAAGGGATTGCCACATGGCCATCTCACTGGTGAGTACACATGCCTTATGCTAAAACTCAAAAAAAAAAAAAAGAGACAACAAAGCATGTGGACAAAATATATCAGTAATACTTAGGGACGATTCTGACTCTGTCCTACACTTTTGAAATCTTAGTCTAAATAGCACGCCATTTCCACTTCGGTACCGGTAGCAGGCTGAAAAGCAGCTCCCAAAAGCCATCCACGTCAAACCCCTGCAACTTATGAAAGTTACCTCATTTGGAAAATGGCCTTGGCAGATGCAATTAAGTTAAGGACCTTGAGAGGAGGAAATGACCCTGCATTGTCGGGGTGGGCCCTGAGTGGAATGACAAGACACACGGAGGAGACCTGACAGAGGAGAAACAAATGTGACCACAGAGGCAGAGACAGCAGCGATGTGACCGTAATCAGGGAAGGCTGGCAACCACCAAAGGAAGAGGGGAAGTTCTCCTGGAGCTTCAGAGAGAGGGCAGCCCTGCCCGTGCCCCCATGTCAGGCTCCAGAACTCTGAGAGCACACATTCCTTTTGCTTTTTTTAATTTATTTTTTAGGTTTTTGCCGTAGGGCGCATGTGCTTGCTGGGGAGAGACAGAGAGAGGAAAAGTGAGAACTCACCCTCCCCTTCCCCCAGGGAGATGCCCATGCTACATTTTCTTCTCCTTCATTCACCTCTTGCGATTGTGGGTGCCCACAAATGCACTCAGCATGATTTTCAAGCCGCTGGGTCTAGGACTCGAATTGGTATCAGCCATGTGAGAGTTCAACACCTTAAATACCATGCCACCTGTTGGTCCCAATTTCTATTGTTTTAAACTTCTCAGTTTGTGGTCATTTGTCACAATAGCCATGGGAAATTAATACAGTACCCATAAGAAAATCACAATAAGGACTGAAATGTCTATTATTTTCATTTGCCCAATATCCATTCTCCCTTCTTCTGCTAAGAGCCTCCTGAATTGCCTGTTAACTGAGCCTGGGTGGGCTGGGTGGACTGGAGCTGGTTACTCTCCACTGCCCTGCCCATAGTGACTGCTTCCAGAAAGAACACTTGTCTTAGACCATGGCAATAAGACTTGCTTTTTTTAAAAATTATTTTATTTAATTGTATTTATTCATTCATTTCTTTTAATTTGACCAGAAAGACACACACACACAGACACACACACACACACACACACACACATACACAGATAGAGGGAAAGTAAGAAAGCAAGCCACCAGGTTCAGCACTCAAACCATGGTCAGCCATGGTGTGTCAGACATGGAGGTGTCAAATGCCTTGACCACCACACCACCTGCTGGTCCCAAGACTTGCTTTTAAAAAGATCCCAAAATTCTTAGGAAAAGTCCCCTTTTCCCTTGATGAAGGTTGCAGGCCCCATTTGGCCCTGCTGGGCTCACGTGTAAGGAGAGCCCACCTGAAAGTGGAGCCATCACAGGAGAAAGTGGAGCTAGAAGATGGGGAGGCAGGGTCCTCCTTCCAGCTCTGGGACTT